TGACACGTGTAATAAGTTAATTGGTTAATTTTTTTTAAAAAAAAAAACAAAATTGAAAAAAAAAAACCAACAAACCCTTGACACCGATCTACCACCCCTTTGACGACGGTCGGCTGCCCCAACTATCTTCCCCTGCGCCGGTTTCCCCTCCCCCCGCGCCGGTGCTGCTACCCCCTCGCCTCCACTGCTCTTCTTATCTCCTTTTTTGACAAGCTTTCTCAATCAGAAACCCCCAACTTCCCTTGAAACCTCTCCATCCACTCGAAACTTCCTTAAAACCACATCCCCTATTCGCGAAAACCCCCAAACACCCCTCCCCCACCATCAAACCCTAGCAGCTAGGGTTTCGGGGTGGGGGAAGGAGTGATTTGGGGTTTTTGGGAGTGGGGGAGAATTTCCTTGGTGGTTACGTGAGGGAATGGGAGGGTGTTTCGAGGAAGGAGGAAAACGGCGACGCTAGGAGTGGGGGAGGCGCGGCGGGCTGGGCAGTGGGGTGGAGGTTAGGGTGGGCCAGTGGAGGAAGGGGAGGCTGGCTGGTGTTTTGTGATTTTTTATTTTATTTTTTTTATAAATTTTTTGGACCAATTATGACTTGACACGTGTCAAGTGACTTGATTTAATGGGTCATTGATTTTTGTTGACCGATTTGGGATTGAAGAAAGTAAACAGCCCCCAAAGTTGGGACTATTTCAGAATAATCCAAATTTGTGATTATTAAAGGAAAATGGAACAAAGTTGGGATTATTAATATCAATTTTTCCTTTATAAAAAAATGATTCTATAAGGTCGACGGGTCGACCAAATACGCATGAATCAACATGATAGCATGTTTGTGTCTATGAGACTACGAGTCCCATGTATTCCCTCTATCCCTATTTTTTTGCCCCATCAAACTTTTCACGGTCTCTAAGACATATCTTAAACCCTAAATATCTTCATTTCCGTACACGTAATAATTACAAAAATGTGATATTTATAAAATATACAATGAGACGAATCTAATTAGATCCTACGTGATTATATTATCTCTTATAGATTAACAATAATTTATGGTCAAAGTTTTCAATGTTTGACCCCAAAAAATGACAATGGGTAAAAAATAAAGGGACGGAGAGGGTATTACCTATGCTTTTTTCATGTCAGGTGATGTTGTGCCATAGGGTTGCAACTTGCAAGTCACATGAACTAGTGCTCTTTAAATGAAGGTGATATCTAAAATGATACTCCATATAATAATTTAATAATTACTGTACTCTATACATGCCTAAATAGGGTTCTAAATGGTAAAACTTTAAAAGTTGCAAACAAGATAAAAAAAACCCAATAAATATAAAAATTGCTGTTATGTGATGATAATTACTAGTAATATCTATCTACATATATACTGTATGTTGTTTAAGTAAGAAGGGTATATTCTTTGATTTTACTTGACTTTCATTTATCTAAACTTAACAAATATGGTATTGTTTGATAATTAGCTGTTAGATGATTGATATAGTTGATTGTATTAACTGGTTTGACTAGCTGATTATATTAGATGATTTGACTAGCCAGTTGTAAATAACTGATTGTGTAAAAGTGTTTGGTCAACAACTGTTTATTGTTAGCTATTTAAGTGTATTTAGTACTCAAAAAGGTAATTGTTCAATAAGCTAATTTCAAAAGCTTCTTATTGTTGGGTTTCGTAGAGTCCGACTCTACGCGGAAGAGAAACCCGCCTAAGACCCGCCCACTAATTTAAGGCATCTAAGCATGCAATCACATATTAAACAACAATTAAGAGAGAGAAGGAAAAGACATTCATACCCTTGGCGCGTGCTTCGTTCGATCCCGAGCTCTTACTTGAAAACTCGAACCCCGCAAATGCGAAGGTCTCCAACGGCTCGTACCCACGAACCCGACCCGAACGGTCCTAGTCCCGAAGGTTAGTCAGGAATTGACCAATAAAAACTAGAGTTTTACGAACTTAAGGTTTTCTCACTTTTCTAAGGAGATGCCTTTTTAGTTCCACTCAAGTGTTCTTCCCAAATCCCAAAACTTGGGTATTTATAGGGAAATGAACCTTGATTTCCAATTCTCAATCAATGTGGGAGATTTGCAATTTCCCTATTTTATTTTAATCAAAACAAAATAAAATTGCAATTTAATCAACAAGTTACAAGTGGCAATGGGAGTAAAGGGAGAAGGTGAGGACCACCAAGGGAGGGGACCAACCCACCTTGCTCCCCAAGGCAAAGACCAACCATTGGTCCCCACACAAGAAACCGGACCACTCCTCCATGTGGCTGGCTGGCAGCCTGCCTTGGTTGTCAAGGTTGCCAGCTGGCGCCTAGCACTAAGGCTGGGCAGCCCAGCCAGCACACACGCACAGCCAGCCCGCAATACATGCGCAGCCAGCCAGCACAAGACCAGCCAGCACGCATGCCTCGCTGCTGCTTGGTGTGTGCGACTAGGCTGCTGCCTGCTAGCACACACGCACAACCCAGCATTCCCAGCACGCTGCTGGCTGGTACGTGGTGCTGTGCGATGTGCGAGGCTGCTGCTAGCAATGGGCCAGGCCCTAGCACGCTAGCAAGCACGCACAGCCCAACACGCTGCTAGCATGTGCGATGCTTGCGGCTAGCGATGGCTGGGTGCTTGGCCTAACATGCTAGCAAGCACGCACCAGCTTGCGGGCTGTGCTAGCCCATGCCTAGCACGATGCGATGGCTAGCGCTGCAATGCTAGCACGTCTAGCCACGCATGCACAGCCACACCACACGCATGCACGCATCTTGCGATGCTTGTGCCATGTGATGTGCGTGTGCTAGGGGATGCTAGACACACAATGCTTGGGACCTTGCCTAGCCTAGCACTCACATGGCTAGGCCAATGCGAGGCTACGACTAGGCTCGAACTTGTTACTTGATTGATTTCACGTCTCGTCGAATTCTAAATTCGACTCGACTTGCGACGCTCGGTCTCGACGCTCTAAGCTCGATATCCGACGTCTTTGTTCGTAATACTCTGATGACTCATCAAATCCTTCGGATTGATTCGTCGTCTCGGATCGGTTGTTCGATTGGGTTCGACCCGAAGGGTTCAGTCAAGATTAAGTTGTAATATTAATTGTACATTAATATTACTGATCGGAAGCGGCCTTTACCTAGGCATTCCGATCACTTGACCTTACTGAAGAATTAGCTTTCTAATAATTCTGAACCCTCTATCGGAATAATACACTTGTTGGAAGGACACCATTCCTTTCACTTATAATGAGCCTTTTCTAAAACAATTTTTTGGGGCTTTTTCTAAAAGAGATTTTTGACCCCAAAATACTCTTTTATAAGCTATTTATCAAATACCAAAATTAGCTTTTTAAAATGGTCAAACCTCTAATAGTTTTCAATAAGCTAAAAGCTTTTAAAAAAACCCTTTACCAAATAATAGCTTTTAAGTTATCTAAAATTATCTAAACTTATAAGACTTTACTAAAACTTATTATTAAACCTTAATTATTAAAACTTAATAAATTGTAAATTGAATTTGAGTAATTCTTAATCCCTATAGCTCTCATCAGTTATCACACCTTATGTTAACTTGATTTTCTCCCGTCACGAAGAAAAAAAAAAAAAAAAAAAACTTGTTTTTCTCAAGTGATCGTAATAGAGTCTTGTCCCTTGCTAAAATAGTAAATTGTTGACTTATTGTTACTAATTAAGTTATCAAATTGATCATTCCCTTGACCCTAGTACTAGTCATATATGTCATGATGTCAATATGTATTACTTGGTACGGTATGTTTTATATGGCTCATCTGTTCCAAACTGATTTTATAAATTAAAACCTATCCAATCACCCAAACAAAAACCTTACAACTTTCCAACAAACATCAACTTTCATTTAGTAGTTAATCACACAACATTGACAATAATGCTACGCATATTATTGTAGTATTCTATCTTAATGTAGTCGTGTATACAATATACATTTAGTCTTTGTACCATGCTCTTCCGACTTTTTGAAATAATGTTGTTAGACTACTATTTATTTATCTATTTGTTTATTTATTTTTGACTGTTATTTAAATGTTTGGTCAAACATCCTTGCATAACTTACACCAAGAAAAAAAAAAAAAAAAGAAGAAAAAGTAGAGAGGGGTGGGGGGGGGGATATAATTTATGTAAATCAAATATGAAATAATGATCAAGAATTTGAGATGAAATAATATTACGTTTTTTATTACACCATTTTATTTCCTTCGCACCATAAATACACTAATTTTTAACTAACTAATGTACTATTTTTTTCATCTGAATTTTTTCATATCTTATCTGAATTTATTACTCTTTATCTTATCGAAACTTATTACTTTTTATCTTATATTATCTTATCTAAACTTATTACTCTTTATCGTATCTAAACTCATTAGAGCTTAAGTAAAGTGAAAATAAGGTGAAAAGAATATAGTCTTAATTCACGAAAATTATATAAATTTAAAGCCTTTTTTGCAAGTATATATTAATGATCATTTGATCATGTATCTATTTAGAAAGTACAAGTACATGCATACATGATTAAATGATCATTAAAATTAATTAATGTCTACTAGGATGATGCTGACACGAGGTTGACCAAGATCAGATATTATATACACCTTAGTTTAAAAATCAGCCAATAAAAAGTTAAAAGTTTACGGAAAAAAAGAGATAAACTTGAATAAAAAAGGAAAAAAAAAATAATAGATCAGATAACTAATTCTGTTAAAAACAAATTGTCAACCTAATCACATACATATGGTCGTGCAGCCAATACATAGTTGTAATGTTGTAACAAACAAAAATTGCAGGCCTAGACTTGTAATATGCCAACTGTTTCAATTTAATTAAATTTTATATAAATGGAAATAAAATGGGAAATTATTAAATTTATTTATAAAATTAAGTTAGAGAAAATAGAGGGGTTTATTTATTATTATAATTATTATTTTTTATTATATTAATAAATTTAAAGGAGGGAATTTGATTTAGTAATGAATGGTTTATGATAAAAAGCTAAAGGAGGCAAAGTTAACTTTGGGGGGTCTGTTTTTTTGAAGGAAAATAAGGAGGGGGTGGCATAATAAGCTGAAAGAAGATGATCTTTCTTGGCTGCTGCAGGGCGGAAATCCTCGACGAGGAAGGCCGTAGCAGCAGCAGTAGCAGCCTCGTGTCGACGCCGAGGAAGAAAAATAGGTGGAGGAGGAGGAGTAAGAGATCCACTATGAATGGAAATTATGGTACTGATGCTAAGATATCTATTGCTACCGTTGTTAAGACCTTCTCTATGAGAACTACTACCAAAGGTTTTTTTTTTTTTTTTTTTTTTTTTTTTTTTTTTTTTTTAATTTGAATTTTATTTCTTTATTTGAAAATGCTAATTTTTTAAAGTTAGTTTTTTTAAAGATTTTGAAAATGATTTTACGTGATAATTATTTGGTTTGTAATTTGTATGTCAATATGTTATGAACTTATGATGTTAGAGATGATGGTAATATTAATATACGTATATATGTTGTCTAGATTATTGATTGAATTAATTAAGAATCGAATTATATGATTTGCATTGAGTGTTGCCTCCTTTTAGCATTGAAAAAGGTTTTGTAACAATGCAGCCGTTAATCATCCAATTCAAGCCCTATGTCATGGTAGAAATTATACCATACGATATTAATCCTCATCGATATTGACCTGACCCAACTTAAAATTAAATCAATATATTGATACATGTATATTTACAAGAAAAGACAATATACATTATTTATAAATGATCTAAATTGACCCCAACACCTTATAACCCGAATGCCATGTATAATGTCATCAAAATAATTATTGCTTAAGATTTGTATAATATTGTCTTTTTTTCTCATAAGTCCCTAACTTTTCTTGTATCATATAATCATATTTGTGTTCTTGTGTATCAATGTATGTCATAGGTAAGAAGAAACAACAGACGATTGATTATTCTGATAGATCAATCCCAGGCCAAAAGATTTCAGCAGCTCAAACATTCACATTTCGACAAATGGCTAACGCGACCAATAACTTCAGCATTGATAATCTCGTAGGTGAAGGCGGATTCGGGAGGGTGTACAAAGGTTACCTTCAAGGTGTAGACAAGGTAATCTCGTACTTCCTTTGTTTTTTAAAAATTGCAACACCTTGACTTTTACATTTTTTTTATACGAATTTTGATAACATATTATGAAGGATGTTAGTTGGATTTGTCTCAAAGTGTTTTTGTATTACCAAAGTTTTATAATATTTACTAAGTTATAATTAAATATTAATGACTTAAGTTGTGCATTGACAAATATGCTGGTCAAACAATTGCAGTTTTAAGAAAATGAAGTATTATGGTTAGTCCTGAATCATACATTATTGAAAAACCAATGTATCAGCTTAATTTGTCGCGAATATGGAAGCATGATCTTCAATTTCATTTTGTTGTTGTTGTTGTTTGAATCAGGTTGTGGCTGTGAAGCAACTTGACAGGAATGGACTGCAAGGAAACAGAGAATTTCTATCAGAGGTTTTCATGTTAAGCCTAGTTGATCACCCAAATCTTGTCAATTTGATTGGATATTGTGCAGATGGTGATCAAAGAATTTTAGTATATGAATATATGGCTTTTGGATCGTTGGAAGATCATCTTTTAGGTAATATCAATTACTTTTACTATGGAATAGTTGCAATCTTCTAGTATAATCATGTCAATCAAAATGCTAGATTATGTCAATTTATTTGTTGAGCATTCTTAATCTTTATATAGCTAGACGTGTCATAAGTACAGTTCGTGTTTTGTTTGTATTGCCAACTTTTTAGGGTTATCGAAATCTTCACTTAAAATTATTGGGTTTAGGTTGAGTCAACTTCGTTCTCAAGTTCATATAATCATTTGATCTTATATGTTATTTTTTTAGCTTAATAGTGCATTTTTTAGATAAATTTTCAAGGGCTATCAAGTTATTTATGGTCGGATTTTAGCAGGCCGAGTCAATTGTTTGACTAGTCTATTGACACCTATTCTAGATCTTCCTCCGAACACGGAGCCCTTGTCTTGGCAGACAAGGATGAAGATAGCCGAGGGAGCTGCCAAGGGGCTCGAGTATTTGCACGAGACTAGCAAGCCACCAGTGATCTATCGCGATTTTAAAGCATCAAACATCCTATTAGACGAACAATTTAATCCTAAACTCTCAGACTTTGGGCTAGCTAGAATTGGTCCAACTGGGGATAAAGAACATGTCTCGACTAGAGTCATGGGCACGTATGGATATTGTGCACCCGAGTATGCCATGACTGGTAAGCTCACCACAAAATCGGACGTTTACAGCTTTGGAGTTGTCTTCCTTGAGCTCATTTCAGGAAGGAGAGCTGTTGATACTACTAAACCAACAGCTGAACAAAACCTCATTTCTTGGGTATGTCTAAATTCTTAACTAGCAACTCTTCTTAATTTGTTTAAATAATTAGTTGTGCAAATTTGTAGTGGCTTTGACAATTATTATGTTTAATTATCTATTAGTAGACACTATAGAAATTTGTTACATTAACAATAATGTTTAGGCATTGTGTTACACAAATTTTTTTTTATTACATTTAACAACTAATCAAAATCAATCTGATTATTCGTATCAAGTTTGTGTAGGAAATATTGGATTTAAAAGCGTTTTCAACCTAGTTTGGTCATAGTTCACCTAACCTGATCCCCCTTTCTCAAATTTTGTGGATTTGGGCATATTTAATTGGCACAAAATGGTTGTATTACAACCTTGTATGGCCCGACCCATGACCAGCTCTATTATGCATAAAAACTATTTATCTCATGTTGAAGTTTGTAACGCCTAAATTTTTATCATCTTGTAGGCACAACCACTCTTTAAGGATAGAAAGATGTTCACAAAGATGGCAGACCCACTACTAAAAGACAAGTATCCAGTCAAAAGTTTGTATCAAGCCCTTGCAGTAGCAGCAATGTGTCTACAAGAAGAAGCTAGCACACGACCTTTAATTAGTGATGTTGTAACTGCTTTGGCATTCCTATCAAAACCGGAAGATGACTATGAAAGCCCTAGGAATTCTGTCATCATACATGACGTCGAAGAGGAAGACATGGAGGATGATCACGAGGAAGATTATTATAAAGACGACGAAAATGAAGATGAAGATGATAATAAGAAGGTACACCAACGTGGTTATGTGGTAGATATAGACGAGTCCTCGCCTAACCGGCCTTCCGAAACTAGTCACCCTCTTCCTACGCCGGATAGTAATGCATGATACGAATGTTGTGGTGTAGATTTTGCCCATTTTGGGCCATTCCTTTGTATTTATGAAATGCTAGAGATTGTAGATTGTAGTAGCCAAATTAAAATTTCTCCCTCAATGAACATTAATAGATTATTAAAGGGTCTATTATGAACTTGTTTCTTAAACTCCTACTATTTGGTACTAGATGATTCAAGGTAAATTCATAGCTAAACCCTTTTCTTTGAAGATGGTTAAATTGTGTGATAATTTTTCCATAGGTCGAGAAATTATTACAATATATATTAGTACGATTATTTTGTCTTGTATAATCGTGACTCATAACTAAGAAACACGAGATTTTTAAATGGTACATGTAGAATTGATTCCTTAACTGTTGAAACTCACAATCAAATCACAAGTCAATTAGGTTGGTGGTAGCTAGTATGCTAGATGGATGGGCTTATCAACTTTCTATTATCACCTCATTTCAATTGTTCCTTGCACACACGCCTTTAATCCTATCTTTGTTTCAAACAAGATTACTTATAGATCATGAAATCACGATTGAGCATGCAATTTTAATGGACTATTGATGAAGTTCCAAAAATCTCAATAATAATGCAAATTTCAAAAATGAATATCTTTAATTTTAGGGAAATTCTACATGGTGGCCTCCAGGTTTCACTTTTTCTACGTGAAAGACAAACTTTTTTCCAACTCTCTCAAGTGACACTCTGGTTTTGCAAAATTAAGTGTAGTGTCCTTTTTTTTGGTTTTATGGCTAACTTTTATAATTAAAATGGTTAACCTAAGGTTTTATAGTTTAAAAATTAATTAAATTATATTTTAAAATAATAAAATAAAATAAAAAACAAAAAAATTCCCAGCCACCCCGCAAACCCTAACCTTGCCGGAATTCGGTCAGCCACCAACTCCCGACCACCGAAACCACCTCCCAGCCAACTCCCGACCACCGAAACCACCTCCCAGCCAACTCTCGACCTCCAAAACCACCTCCTAGCCAACTCCTGACCACCGAAACCACCTCCCATCCAAGCCCCGACCACCGAAACCACCTCCCAGCCCAACCCCCGACCACTGAAACCACCAAAACTGGCCGGCCGGCTTTCCACAACCCCACCTGACCTAGCCCTGACCCCCAAAACCGCCACCTCGATCCCCAAAACAACTACGAAGTCCAACGAAACCACCGCCACCCCTACTGCAAAACCCTAAAAAGTTCAGATTATTTTTAGCAATTTTTAGCAGTTGTTATTGTGCTCCATGGCGAATTGGTGGGAATGAGTGCGATTAAAGTTTGGACGGTGATTGGTTGTTGCGGGCTGAAGTGTGGTTGCGATTTATTGTTGATGCGCGGAGAGGGAGAAGCAGCAGGGCTGCTTTAATGTTGCGGCTGGAGGTGATGGCAGTTGTTAGCGTGTTGGTGGAATTAATTGGTGGCAGCTAGAGTGTCGCAAGTGGTTGCTGTGTTGTTGCGGTGGCTTATCTAGTTGTTGCAAGGATGCGTAGCTGCTGTGCGTTGTTATTGGGTTGCTGTGGAGGATGGAGATGGCGAATTTAGGGAGCAGGGGAGTTGCGACCAGGTGCATGTTGGTGTCTCGGTGGCTGAAGATGGTGGTTGCGGATTGGTGTTGTAGGGTGTAATTGTTGCTGTAAATTGGTGCTGGTTGGTGATGGCTGCAGCGCCGGCACCGGGGGAGGGGAAGGGGGTCTGGGCGGCGGCCGGCGCTCCGGGGGGAAGAAAGCTAGCCATGGGTGGCTGGGTTATTGGTTTTGTTTTGTTTTTTTTTTTAATAATTTTTTCTTTTAAATTTTTTTTTGGATCACTTACGACTTGACACTTGTCAAGTGACTTAAAAAAGTTAGCCATAAAACAAAAAAAAGGACACTACACTTAATTTTGCAAAACCAGAGTGCCACTTGAGAGAGTTGGAAAAAAAGTTTGTCTTCCACGTAGAATAAGTGAAACCTAGAGGTCATCATGTAGAATTTCCCTTAATTTTATGTTTGCAAATGATTATACACTTTGTGCTTTTAACGGTTATTAATAAAATTTTTGTCACTATTTACATATTTAATGGTTACATGTTTGCAAAGACCAGAGAAACTTTGATCACACATTGTCATATTTTATGATAATCTTAGTCATACTTGTGTGTCGGTAAACATGCAAACAAAGTTAAAAAAAAAAAAACAAAAAAACAAAAAAAAGAACACATACAGTGGAAGTACTTTGTGAAAAACAAAGTTAATACTTTTGTACTCCTTCCATCCCAAAAGATCTGGGACATTAGACTTTTTTCATTATTCATGTATAGTTTTGATCATAATTCTTTACTAACATTGAGTAAAAACATATTTTATCATTAAATATGTTGTTAGATAGGTATTAATATAAAGTTTCATAATATAATTTTAAAAATAATTTTCATTCATATTTAATTATATAAAAATGAAGTCAAACTAGTGCATTGACATGTGTGCAAAGTTGATTGTGTCATATATTCTAGAACAGAGGGAGTATTTTGAACTTAAATCTATTCACAAAAACTAGCGATAGATGTTAGCTTATGATTGATTTGACTTGTCACAACCTAACACCTAACCAATCTACAACTTTTCACCCATTAAAACCCGCATGAATCTGGCCCACCTGAACTAAATTCCCCAAGTACGAACAATAAAGGAAAAAGACTGAAATTCGCTTCCCAACCCATAAATTGCTCAATCTAACCAAGCACTTGATCTGATCAACCCACAAACCAGCCTAAGCTGTGTCAACCTAGACCAACCCGATCCTATCTGTGTCACTATGGCTCATCCCAACACACACCGAACACCACCCAACCTGACGTGGTAGCTATTTCTTGACAATTCCATATCCGAAATAAAGAAAAGATGAGCTAAAAAACACATTTCACAATTTGTTTATGCAAGTACCAACGACACCACGACATCACTTTGTGTAAATAAATCATGCAAAGGCGGTCGTATTCGCTATCCCATTGAGTTGGATTCTAAATTCTTGTACAAATACAAATAAAAAAAAGTTTCAAATTCGTTTCCTAACCCATAAATTGCTCAATCTTACTCAACTCATACATAATTCGATCAGACCACAAACTAACCAAAGTTGGATGGCTCTCAACCAACCCGATCCTACCTCGTGTCCCATCCCAACTTACACCCAACATAACCCAACCCAGCCCAGCCTAGACCGACCCATAGCCATAGGCCATCTCTTGACCATTATATATCTGAAATAAAGAATAGAGCTACAGAAAAACATGACATAAAATTTGTAATTTGTAGGTACCAAAGAAACCACGAGGGCCTCGCGTTGTGTAATTAAATCATGCGAAGACGGTCGTATTCACTATCCCATTGACTTGGATTCTAATTTCTTGCACAATATCAACTTCGTTTCAAATTAAATCTTCAATCTCATTTATTCAGCTTTTAAAAACTATATAAAATCTTCAGTAGCTCAATATCATCTTTTTTGTTTTTGCAATTTCAGAAATTACAAACAAATCAAAAAATGGCGATTGATGAAAGTGTAGAAGAGGAAAAAAGGGCGTTTTTATTAAATCATCAGAACTCACATCATGAATCCCCTAAACCCAGAAGAAGGGGTGGTCTACTTACTCTGCCTTTCATTATTGGTACAACTTAATTTCTTCTTTTTAAGCATTTTCCCAATTCTTTTATTAGCTTATACTTCTTTCTGATTTTGGAATTTTTGAATTTGGATTATATTCTTTGTTTGACGGTTTTGATATATGCAACCTTAAGGACTAATATACATTGAATATATTTCCCGTGTTGGGTAGGAATATACTACCTCCGTTTTTTTTTATGTGCAACTTTGGCACATAAAACGGTTCACGAGGCAAAAGATTGAAGGGCAAAGATTAAGAAAGTATAATGGTGATTAATATATTATAAGAGTATGTAATTAAGGTGGAGAGAGAATGTTTGAATAATTAATCAAACCACCCATTGCCACCACCAAGACCAACCACCACCGCCGCCGCCTTCACCACCACCACTGTCGGCTTCACCACCACCGCCACTGGCTTCACCACCACCACTACCACCCCCACAAAACCACCACCACAACCGACCCCACGAAACCACCACCACCCTCACGTCTTTCCTTCTTTTTTCCGGCAGCCCCCTCCCTAACCAAAAAACCCAGATCTAACCCAGACCACCTAGACCCACATCTAACCCAGACTACCCCACCACCTAGACCCACATCTAACCTAGACCACCCCACCACCTACGCCACCAAGACCCAACCCTAACCCAGACCACTCCACCACCCAAACCCACCTCTAACCCAGAAAATCGAAACCCAGAAAATCAAAATCAAAACCCTGAAAATCAAAATCAAAATCAAAACCCTGAAAATCAAAATCAAAGATGAAAGAGAGAAAGCCGGTGGTCATAGGGAGCAACAATTGGGCCGGAATCATCACCGGTATCCGAGAACCCACCACCGCCGGCGCCGTGAACAAACTTGCAGGCGTTACCATTCGAAAAAGGGTCGTTCAAGAGACCCGGTTTTCGTTCAAGAATTCGGGTCTTTCATTGATGGGTTCGGGTTTGGATTCGTGTTTCTGGGTTTTGTCGATGAGAGGGAGGAAACGACGGTGGCGGAAATGGTGGTGGTGGAGAGGGCGGAGATCGGCGGAGACGACGATGAAATGGGGGTTGTTGGGGAGGTCGGAGTTAGGGTTTTGAGGGAGGAAAGAGGAGTAGGTGGAAACGATGAGGGTGTTGCAGGGGTGGAAAAGGAGGTCGGGGCGGGTTGAGACGACCGAGAGGATGGTGGAGATCAGGAGGAGAGAGAAAATGGAGGTCACCGACGATGACGCCATTGAAGGAGAAGTGAAGAGAGGAGAGAGAAAATGGCAGATTTGGGGGAATTTGGGATTTCTGAGGTGATGAAGAAATTGGGAATGAATTTCTGAGGGGAGGTAGTCTTGGAGAAGGTACAATTAGGTTAATGATTTTAGATTAGATAAAAAAGTTATTGTGATTAAAATAAGATAAGGATAGCATTAAGAAAATCTGAATTTTTAAGTAAGGGTAAGTTTGTAATTTTCAGGGTTTTTATTTACCAAAAATAGAATGAAAAAGGAAAGTTGCACATAATAGTGAACGGACTAAAATGACAAAAGTTGCACATAAAAAAAAACGGAGGTAGTATAACAAAATCACGCCTCAATCAGTGTTATTATTGCTTATTTAATGTTTAAAGTTTACACTTTTAGTGAGTTGTTTGCCTTTTTTTGGTTTTGCATCATTAAGTATATTTCGTTTGTTGGATTAGAAATACTACTCCGTAGGATATAACATATTCATGCTTCAATTGGTGTAATTAATGCTTAATTTTTATACTTTTGATGGGTTGTTTGCATTTTTTGGTTTTGCATTTTGATTTTTGTGGGCAGTGAATGAGTCATTTGAGAAGGTAGCAAGCTATGGTTTATTGCCCAACATGATATTTTACTTGATGAATGTGTATCACTTGGAAGCTGCAAAAGGGAGTATCATATTGTCACTATGGTCTGCTTCTTCCAATGTACTGGCCATTTTTGGGGGGTTTCTCTCTGATTCTTACTTGGGTCGTTTTCGGGTCATCGCTTTTGGGACTTTTTGCAGCCTTCTTGTAAGTTGATTTTTGGATTGTTTTAATGTCTTGTTTTAAATATTTCCAATTCAGGGTTCCTACTATTTTTGGGGTAATTTATTAGGATTCTGAATATTTCTTTCTTCTTTTGTGCCTGAAATCATTTATATAGTAAGTACTTAATAGAGTATTTGATAAAGTAGGACATGTTGGTTTGTATTTATGCTCAATGTGACGGCATTTGATGGCAATGCTGTTAATTTTCCTACTGCCTTGCTAGAAGCTTTTCGGTCCCCTTGCATAAAAGTATAAAACTCTATGTTTGTTCTGTTATTGGAGTATGTGACTTATGGCTCTGTAAATGATAATTAATATTATACTATTAAGCGAGTTAGATGATATTGTAAAGGAAAGATCCATGGTAAGATTTCTTATGAAGGCAATAACGTACTGTCATTTTAGTAAACTATACATTGTAATTAGAGTTCTTATGTGGAATAGGGTTATTTCCACAAGGTTTAGGGAAATTGTGAATACTTCTCTTGCTTGAACATAGAGATAGGCTTTTATCGGACTTCATATATAATTTGAATCTAAAGAGGAATTCCTTTTTTGTTAGTGGGCAGCATTAAGTTGAAAAATCTGTAGTAATTTCTTGGAGAAAAAAGTTATCATGCTTAACCCTTCACTTGACTCGTTTTTAATTAACACAGTATGCATCAGTAAACTGAGAATCTGTGTGATCATTTTCTACAGGGAACAATTATGCTTTGGTCAACTTCTATGACCCCTTGGATGAAACCTGCACCTTGTGCAAAGTATAGTAAGGATTGTGACACAGCTACTTTGCTTCAATATCTTGTTTTGTTCGGCTCTTTTGGCCTAATCTCCATTGGAGCTGGTTGTGTGCGACCTTGTTCCCTGGCTTTTGGGGCTGATCAAGTGAATGATAAAGAGAACCCCAATAATGAAAGGGTTTTAGATAGTTTCTTTAACTGGTATTATGCCTCAACAGGATTGTCTACTATCATTGCCCTGACATTTATTGTGTATATCCAAGATAAATTTGGCTGGCAAATTGGATTTGGTGTGCCTGCAATTCTCATGGTTCTTTCTCTCGTGACCTTCCTACTCGGTTCTCCATTGTATGTACATATAAAGGCCAAAGAAAACTTATTTCTTGGTTTGTTTCAAGTTCCAGTAGCTGCATACCGGAGAAGGAAAATTAGTTTCCCTGTAGATGCTGCTGAAGTGCATTACTATTGCGAAAATGACTCTGAGGCCACTACCCCAAGTGATCACATAAGGTACACTTAATTAGTTTGACATCCTTCATAACTGATTGTCTGAATACTTCTGCAACCGACCTCACAGTGTTTTATGGTTTAGTTTGACATTCTTCATCACTGATTGTCTATGTACTTCTGCAACCAGCCTCACAATGCTTTGAGGTTTCTTGTTTTTTGATTCAATTGAAGCTATATAGAACTCAGAATACCAAAATTTATATTGATATGGATTCAAGTGGCTAACTTGTTCATTTTTATAAAATTTGGCCTAAAATTAAGTGCCTAAATGCCCTTTTCCATGTTAGAGTGTCCACTTTGACATTGTCCACATGGATTTTTAAGGTGAAATGAAGAGTCATGTAATATAGCTCAAATTTCCCGGGTTCTTACTGTGAAACACTTCTACAAGTGTATTTTTAGCTATCCATATGTAGTTGATTGTGTTGTATCTGTTGCATTTTGTAGGTGTTTAAACAGAGCTTGTGTAATTATAGATCCTGCAAGGGACTTAAATGCAGATGGATCTGCATCAAACCCTTGGAGCCTCTGCGCTGTGGAGCGAGTGGAATGGCTTAAATCTATTTTAAGAATTATGCCTATGTGGACTACAGGAATCATGATGCTAGTAGCTCTAAACAACAGCTATACAACCCTTCAAGCAAAAAGTATGGATCGACATATCATTTCAGGTTTTGAAATTCCAGCGGGTACTTTTCAAGTTTTTTCAATTGTGACTATTACGTTATGGGTAGCATTTTATGATCGTGTTGTCGTGCCATTGATGGCCAAGTACCTTGGCATGCCACGCGGGCTTGGACCTAGAGTTCGTATGGGAACTGGGTTACTGTTATCATGTGTGTCACCGATAATTGCTGGAGTAGTGGAATCCATTAGACGAAAAGTTGCCATTGATGAGGGATTGGAAGATAAACCTAATGCAGTAGTCAACATGTCAGCAATGTGGTTGGCGCCACAGCTTGTGTTGCTAGGATTTGCTGAGGCCTTTAACGCTGTTGGTCAGATAGAGTTTTATTATGCTCACCTTTCTAAGAGCATGTCAAGCATTGTGATGGCTATATTCACACTAGGAATGGCGGTATCAAGTGTGGTGGGTGGCCTCTTGGTTAAACTTGTTGATACTTTTACAAGCACTGGGGGAAAGGTGAGCTGGTTATCAAGCAATCTGAACAAGGGTCATGTGGACTACTATTACTGGTTGGTTGCTTTTCTGAGTTTGATTAATTTCCTGTATTTTCTTCTATGTTGTCGAGCATACGGCCCATCCGAGAGTCACAGTCACAGAAGTAAGCGTTATGATACTGTAGAACACAATTCAGCTTGATTACTACGTGCCCTTTCTGGGTCCTTTGTTGTTTATGTAAACTTTTGTTAGTATTACTATCTGTAACATTATTGATCAGATAATGTTAGAACGATAGCTTTCACTTCTTTTTTTCCTTCGAGAGCAACTTTTAAGCTTCTTTTGTATTTTTGGATTGACATTATTGATCTAATCTGTAGCATTATTGATCTAACAAGTTTAGTATTACTTTTGTCTGTCGTCTAATTTTGAGTTGACGTATTCTGACTTTACAATTTTATGATCAAGAATCGAAAATATTTCATAAACCTCAAGGTTGCTGAATATTCATGAGTCATAAAACGCGAACTACTTCGTTTGGCTGGAAAAATCACCAGCCAAGAGTAATCTTATGCTGGTGAAAGGTATACAGTTAGAATAGCTTTATGCAACTGCACTAATGTCTAACCTCTATTCAACACTGTTATGAGAGCTTTAACTTCAAAGATATATAGTAATATAGGTGATAATCGTGAATACGTGATGTTGTCTATAATTTATCAGTTTAATTCATGTACCATTTGAATGTGGTTTATATGTTGCCTTAACTATGCTCTTAGATGAAGTTTCAGAGTGTTTCTTCTTGGAATAACACCCTCAGACCGTCTCATTTATCGTTAGATTGATTCCAATCTACAGTGCATCGTATTGGGTTCTAGAATGACAGTAATGGACCTTCTTGCTTTGACAAGAGGTAGGAAGATCTATGTTCTAATAGATGATGCAAGAACACCCACCAGCTAGATGGGAGAAAGCTGAGTAATAATACAAAGCACCCAGGACAGACAGGTTTTCGATCCAAACTTTCAAGCATCGACATGTGTTTCATATTCCATGGTGAAGAAAGATGAAGGTAATTTTAGATGATGATTTCTATAAATTAGCGCTTATAGTTGCTACTTATAGAATGCTGATAGCCTTATACTATAAAACATAATCGAGTGTAATACAGGTAGATTTAGCACTTTACAAATGCTCAAATTCCTCTTTCAGTAAAATGATACCAAAAAAAAAAAGACAGATTTACTGTAAACAAATGAAACAGAGCTTTCTTCCTTTTACTTATCTCAGTTGACGTCTCTTTCTTACATCATCAAGCATATATGTGTAAGGTGATGAAGTGACTAAAGAAATCGAATTCGGATTGGATAGATTGTCATATTTTCATAATAGGATCTTTATCAAACTCTTATTGTTATCTTAAACGACAATTTAGTCTGAATCTGATGAAAGCACATCCCCACCCGAAGTTTAAATCTAATTAAATACGATCCAAAGCCAATCAATATTGTATATAGAATCCAATTAAAATGAGGAAGTCCAAATAGAAGTGGATCAGATACGACACATGACAAGACTAACCTGAAACCAGTTGTTTCTGATATTCTTATCATAAAAGATTGAAAATTGCAAACTCTGAAAGATCTATCACCAAATTGATTCATTACAAGCATCCTTTTGAACACAAGAAATGGTCATAAGACAACTAAGGATCATCTAAAGCTTTGTGCAACAAACAACCGAAAGATCATCTAAGGTTTCGGATACTAAAAACATATTACTACTTACAAATAGAAAATTTATATACTGATATAGGAAAAGAAAGAAAGCAAGCCTTATGCCTAGAATAATAGCGAGCCTTAAACACATGAAAAGTTTAAGGATCAATACCAACATCTGTTTTGAGGCTTCTATAACTAAACCCGCCAAACCTCTTGCTTTCTGAGACATCCACAGCAGAACACATACTAGGCAGAAAACTACTGCTATTATTATTACTACTGCTGTTGCTGCTGCAGTTATTATTGCTTCTCCTCTTCTTTCTCCAGCTCATGCTCAGCAACGATCCTAATGAAGCTGTCTTCACTCGACTAGTTGGTAAACTGGTAGTTTTCCTAGAGACTCCTACATAAGTTTTTGCCTCGAGTTTCTTAGATGTATCACCACAATCTCTCTCAAGCCTACGAAAATACTCAATCTCTCGTCTGACAAGCGATCCAACGGTCCCTCTGGTGCCTATTGCAATAGGAGCTGTTGTGCCCATTTTTTCTTTGATGAGTATGTTTGTTGAGGTACTTGCCTTATATAACATTTTTAAGATAAGTTGTTATTTTCTTATACTAAAAACTTGTGTTTTTAAGAGAGGCTTGGAAATGAAGCACAGTATGATGGATCTCTGAGTCTTTGTCTATTTAGGAGGATTGCTTTGGGATTTAGGCATCTCTAATCTTTTGCTTTATAGAGTTGTATATGTCTGCTTTTTGTAAAGGGGGCAAGCAGCATGATAATTTCTTTTTCATATGATAAGGACTTTGGATTACCATAAATTTCATCATAGCATTATTAAAAGTAAAGCATAAATCAAGGGATATTAAAAATGTTAAAATTTTTAAATATAATCATACAACGCCCCGGAAATTTTAAAAATGTTTGCGATAATTAACAATAGTTGGGTTATAAATTTGTATGAAATGGTGTCTTTTTAACCTTTCTAAAGGTATATGTTAAAAATTCACAAATATCATGATGAGTAGTTTCATATTGATGAATTTCTTTTAAGAGATTACGTCACTAAGTCTTGTTCTATTCACCAAAAAAATAAAATTTATATTAATTAAAAATGTTACGTATGTTTACAAAAATACTAATTTAATGTAACTAGATTTAATGAAATCTATCAATTACGATTTACGAGTAGTCGAGTACTAAGTATTAAAATAAAGAAAGAATCAATCAGCGAAGTTTATAAAATATTACAAGTAATTCATAGAATTTAGTTCTTTTTAATGATTGTACCTTTTTTAAAATCGACTTGTAAAATTCAATACAAAGCCTCTAATTATTTGAAATGTTCAAGAGGAATTTTTTCTTTTTTAAGTTTCATATAATGAATTTATGATCATAGTAATTTAGAACCGAAAGTCACGCATCTTTCATCAAGTTATTCGATCAATCAAGCCTCAGTTAACCAGACAAAGGTACACAATAAATAAAAGTGATTAATTTTTGGTGAATAATTCATAGGGTAAAAGTCAAAGTCAATGATTAGAATGTGTAGTGTATGTGATTTATTATTAAGAAATGTAACAAACGTGATTGGTTTCGAGTGCGTTGGCCCTAAGGCATGGCTTTAATGGTCGGCCTTCTTTAATCTTTCTTCTATTCCTTTTGTTTGCCTATTGTCCAATATCAATAGTGGCAACAAGGTTAGCTATAATTTATTAGGTATTACCTTATGAAGGACCATCATAATTCATAATTGTAATTGATGGTGCACATTCCTAGTGCTCACTCTAATCATTTCCTCACATTTCTTTTTCCGATTGCACGGAGTAGTAAAGTTTTGAAGAGTCATACACAAGACAAAGGTTCGAAATTAGTTTATGATTTGTTGGTGTAGTGACTACTGATATATTTAAAACGAGGGTCAAACTTATTCTAAGAGATGTAAGGAATTCCATCGGTAATAATTTCATTGTAATTACTAACTAGATCTTTTAGAATTTAAAGACATGTTTTGAGCTTTCGAATAGGGAAAAATTCTCATTGATACCACTCTGGAATTTAAAGACATGTTTTGAGCTTTCTAAAACGAGGGTCAAACTTATTCTAAGAGATGTAAGGTATTCCATCGGTAATAATTTCATTGTGACATTTTTTGAGCTTTCTAATATTTCCTTCCTCAATTCTTATTATATACGTCCTCCATTTTTTTTTTATAATTGCAACAGTTTGATTTTCATACTGTTCAAAGCACTACTTTGACTGGCTTTAACGATTTATGGTTAAACAAAAATATAGTCACGTGAAATTTTGTTAAATTCGTCTCAATTTATACTATTTTAGTATCTAATGTATAATTTTTACATATTCACAATTAAAGATATTAGCGATTGAAATAATGTATCGACAGGCGTAAAAAAAAAAAGTGTTGCAAGTAAAAAAAAACAGAGGAAATATACTCCTATGCTATGGAACTATGATGTTATCTGAAAATCAATGAGGCCGTCCTCTTCAAACCTTGTGAGAGGGGTTTGATTTTCACCCCTCGCAAGAACCAACCCCCTTACAATTTCTCCATTGGATCTAAGTTAAATATGGAGAGAGAAAATAAAAAATGTGCAATTCCACTGAGGGCATTAGAAAAGAAGACACTTGTGTATCAATGAGTATAAGAATCCAAAAATGATTTCTCTATAAATTTACACTCATCAACAATTTCCCGAGGTTCCAATGTGATAGACAAAATACACAGTTGACTCCCAAAAGAACAGGGGGTGGGTGGGGTGGGTTGTACAGACTAGCCTAATAATTTATTACTAGTTTCCGACACCCCTGTATTACTTCTATTGCCTTCCCTAATCCCCTTATAATCTTATAAGTAATGACTTTCAGTATAATCACGTTCAAATATTAACATATCTGTGTCAACTAATTAAACAGCTAGGACGTACTTGGTAGATGGCATGAATACCTCAACTTCCGATGTGAAGCAAGCGCATTTTGCAGTGCAGTATGCACATTTACTCCTTCCCGAAAAACTGAATCATATAAATGACATACAAATTGAGACAATTCCTCTTCCTCGTGGTCCCAGAAAGCCTTTGATGTATTTTCTGTGCTTTTCTCAAGGTCACTATCTTCCCAGTCACTGATAGGACTCCCTGGTTCTGCTGGTTCTTCATCTTCTGCTTCATCCTCCCCAAGCTCAAATTTGCCATTCTCCAAATCATCAAAATCGCCTGATCCATGGAATGACGCTAACTGCATTTGAGGAGGTTCACTGGATGGACATATAACAGCCTTTGCACCAGAATCTAGAATGGCCTTAATTAAAGGCTTAACCATCCCGTATCTTCCTGTGCTAATTACAATTCTATCTCTCCAGGCTCCAACCTGAGAGATGACATGGTACATAAAATTAGTCCAGGATGCATAACGTTGAACTTATTCAAGGATATAAAAGTTAAAGAAATCCTATATACGTATTATTTAATATATAATGAACAAGATTTTTTTTTTTTTTTAAAAAAAAGGGTGCTCATGTTAAACGAGGACAGCCTTCCAACAGTAACAAATACTTTGATCTAATACTTCAAGAACTACAGGTTTATCTTATGGATCAGAAAGACACAAAAGTAATTCCAAGTATAGCACAAATAAATCAAAGAATCATATGTACACATACCATCCAGCGGATATCATCAGCCACTAGATGCATGGATGGGACAGTTCTCCGAAACATAAATGCCCCAATTTCACGGTCATCTTCCATAACCTTCATAAAGTAAAAAGCTTGATAAGCTTGCGATTATAGAAGCGACAAATATGCAGCAGTAAGGAAACTAAAAAGCATACCTGGGTTTGGCGTCCTATATACCTATGAACAACACAGCCAATTTGAAAATAAGGCCTATATGCCACCAGGTCAGCTATGGTTGAGATGGAGTTAAGTTTTGACATCTCCTTTCTACCCCGAACAGTTGACAACAAACTAAAACGAACACTCTGTACAAACTTGTCTGCAAGCTCCCCAGGTTCAGCAACCACAAATACATCATTTTGCCAGCTACAAAACATTTTACCAGAGTCAAGCTCTGCTCAAAAGCAAAAAATTTAACATCTAATGCCTATCTACACAAACTGGGACAAGATAGAAGCCATGGAGAAAGCAGAAACTAAAATGTAGCAGGACAAAGACATCGACCTCAAAATTGCACCAGTAGTGTCATTTTGGAGCGCTAAATGAATAATGCCGACTTGTGGTGAATTCTTCAGCTTATTTAACAATGATTGCACAGGCAAGCACAGCTGCCTGGGTCCTGAAGGAGACTTTGGAGGTGACGAAGTTGATCTTGGAGCCTGATGGCCATCCAAGCTCAAAGGAGGAACTAAGTCAATTCGGCCAATCCTCTGAGCAACTTCTGGACTGTACAGTAATGGGCTTGATGGAAAGCTTCCAGTAAACATAGGTGATGCAAATGGTGAGTTAATGGAAGTACCAGTCACAGGCTTAGGAGAATTTGACATTCCTGTTACAGTAGACAATCTTACTCCACTATGGGAACAAAATGTTTCAAGTGATCTTGTATGATGTGTGATTCTTCCAGAATCTGGACTATTAGAAGCCTCCACAAGGAGTACATTCCGCCTCCATCCCAAGGAAGGACTACTATCATCTAGCAATGTAAAAACAACAGAATAAGGTTGAATGTGGTATATACTGAGGCCTTTTAGATTCAGGCCTACAGCGGAATTATATGTGCATGAAGAATGGAGAACCAAAAGAGGAAAAAAAAAGATAAAAATCTGTGTTACCGGCTGAAAAAATTTAATCATAAAATATTAGATTAGTACCATTCTCTGACTTTGATTTTGACAGATTTTGAGATTTCACACCATCTGAAAATCTTTCGTCCTGTTGGTATGGCAATGTTAGCCTCTGACAAACACTTTTGAATGCTTCTGAATTATTTTTGACGTAGTCCTCTGCGGCTGTTTCCAACCTCAGCCAACCAGCAGGGTCGGTTTCGTCCAGCTCCATATCACATCGGTCATCAACTGAGCACACAATTGAAAATTTTCAAAGAGATCCATTTCTCATTATAATCTAAAGAAAATAAGGGGAATGATAAATGTGATGTTAATACAACCACAAACTGCTCAAACAACAACAAAAGTTTCCCACAATATTGTGGACTACAGACAGGAAAGAAACATTGCTGGCAACAATAGGCATATATTGTAAAAGCAAGGCATTCGAGTTCTAACCAGGATTAAAACGAAAGTATTGTATATCAGGAAGCATCGGTAGTAGTGTACTTAAAGCTTCCTCAACTCGTTCCACTGAACATGCACTCTCAATTAACACTGGCACTGTATCCCAAATAAGCCAACCAGCCTTCCGTGCCTGCAAAATTAGACGATTAATAAAATTCTCTTCACCATGTTCCTTTATTACTTGTTTTACTTCTAATTTTATGAGAAATTAAGACTAAGATGATATTGATGCTGAGATCATAGCCTTATTAACCTTTGTTGGAACGGAGCCACATCCAATAGAAACCAAACAATCAATTTTAGTGTCAGGCCACAAAAGTTGAGCTTCCCGTATAGCAAAAATGGTAGGGTTGTTTGCCACTATAGCACCATCTTGCCAGCGATTGACATCTGCTAGGAGACAAGAAAGATCAGAAGGGAGAGAGAAATGGAAAAAACAAAACTAAGTGAAGGAAGGAAATAAACCAGCACACTAAATTACCATCTGAAA